TCAATTATTATAGAAAGGGAATAAATGGAACCAAGAAATAACTCTTTTAGCACACGGCTAACAGAAAGGTTAATTGGACTGGGCAGGAGTTACTTCCCAGTAACAGTGCTGCTCAGACAGCACTGCCCACTCAGCCTGCAGGGAAAAAACTACCCAGCAGCTACCCCTGAAAGACAACACAGCAAGAATTGAATTAATCTGAATACACAGGTGTTGGAGTGAGGAATTTCTTCGGCAAACACAGAAGGTGTGAATTATATGATGTGCAAAAAAAAAGGGGAATATTTCAGCAAGGAGCTGCACACCACAGCTGCTCAGGGAAGTCAGGCAATTATAGATAAACATGAGTAATTAATGCTATTTTATGCCCAAGTGCATGTACACTTAATCACATGAATTATATCTTTTTTCATGTGTAATCTTATCCTCACTTCATCTGCTAATGGGCTGTTTAATTAGTATTTTACATCTTTGTGGACTCTGGTTATTTTTAAAGTCTTCAGACTGTTATCATATCCCTCTGCAACCTCACAATTATCTCTGGATAAAATTTAAGAAGGAGGAGAACAGAACCTCTCCCGTATCCCACTCAGGTTGTGGGGATACAGAGGTTAAGGGACTTGCCTATGGCTGGAAAGGGAGTTTGTCAGAGCCACAAATTAAACCCAGCTCCCTGGAGTTCATGCTCATCACAAGACTATTCTCTCCTGTAAATTAAAACCCATCATTAGTCTGCTCTGCTGCAGTCTGGCTGTGTGGAACAAGAAATGTAAATATTTTGTAGCAGTAGGTATTAATTTGTAGCATTAATAAAGTTTGCGCTGCTGAAAACTGAATTGGTTCTTTCTTATGCTTTGCTCTGTATCCTGAAATATTTTGATTTTTGAATACAACCACCAAGTATGCTGAAAATTCCCTGCAGCTCAGATCATACCCTTCCTATTCATTTGAGCAGAGTTGGAGGGGAAATGTGTGACCTGCAGAGGTTTTCAGTCTGGGCCCAGCGATGGTTCAGTCTGTACAAATTCCCTAGCGTTCATTTCCACACTTTTTTTTCCCAAAATTTTTGGGGTTTCAGCACTGGGAAAGACCTTTCCCGTTTGTTTGGGCAGCCACACAGGTTGTGAGTTGCCATCGTCTCCCTTCTGTCTCTCAACTCAGCATCTCTGCTGTAAATAATGCAGCATCTGCTCACAGGAGCGAGACTTAACTTTGGTTCTGCCCAGGCTGATGACAAGATGGGGGCTCACAGGAAGAGCATCCCTCCCCATCAGAGACAGGCAGCAGAGATCTAGGCCAGTGTGAGGGGAAGCCTCTGCCTGAGGCTGCATTTCAAAGGCATCACTGACACAAGGGAACAAAGCACAATATTATTTTTTTTAATCTTTTTTTTTTCTCAAGCTGACAGTGAATAGAGAAGTCTGTGGAGCTCAAAGCACCGAGGTTGATGGACAGTGTCTCAGCAAAGGGCCAAAACTATCTTAAACTCCAAGCTTAAGCTCCTATTAGGCAAAGAAAATACAGCACAAATTATGCTTATGTAGCACGTCTCATGCAAACATCCCAGAACGCTCCACGATCAAACTCAAACACAATCAATCATGGAGATGTGAGCAGAGTTCACCAAGGAAAACAGAGAGCAGGGGAGGCTTGGCAAGAATGAGTGGCACGGCCGCCACGAGCACCTGGCTCCCAAAGGGAAGGGCTGGGGGGCTGGCGAGGGCCCCCTGGGCAGGCAGGGATGGGTAAGCAGATGTCAGCAGGGTGTGGGAATTGCTGTGAGGCAGGAGGACAAGCCGGGAAGAGAGAAGGTCTCCCAGGTCCGAATGGGCCATTGCTAGTGGGGTAACGGCCCCACGGAGTGCAGGGACACGGGCCGGTGGCTCTGCTGGTCCTGCCGGGCAGCTTGCTCAGACGGGCGCCCGCCGTGTCCTCCCGGTGCCCCCGGAGCACACCTTCCCCGTGGTGTCGATCAGCACGTGAGAACCCACCTTAGCCCAAACTTGGGTCAGAAAAGAACCTTTGCTTGTGTTTCGTAAAAAACATTTGGGTAGCTTTTCTCTCCTTCTCCTCCAGGCATCCTTCCTTGGTTGCAACAGAGAGCAGTGGACACAGAAATCTCACAAAGAGAACCCTGGCCAGACTCTTATTTATCACAGTCAGGAGGCTTAGTTTGACTGTTTGAGCTGAGATTTCAGTTCAGACTTCTTGGTCCTTCTCCAAGCTCCTGGCAAGGGTTGCCAAGGTTGTCTTTCCACTGACAGTATGCTGAGACTGGAGCGACTGTTTCCAGATGAGGATCCTCAGTTATGTGGAAGGCATCCATACCATAGTCTCACATCAGCAAGACAGACTTCTTTGCAATCAAGGTGATTAGCAGATGATTGACAGAATCACCAAAATGAGACAAACTAATTTTCTAATCAACTTAATTATTTAAAATAATTAACAACTCGGAATGTCATTGTTATTGCTCCAATTAATAGAGAAATATCTGACACAACATGAACTCTATGACCAGAAAAGATTTTCCCCAAACCTGCTGCAGCTCAGGAGTAAGGATGCTCTTCCCGGGCATGTTGGATCTTACTTGAAACCTCTGCTCCAGCGACTGGGATCTCCACATCACTTGTCCAAATAAGTGCCCTAAGCTCTGGGTGACTGGACATGCAGGGACAAGGCTTACCAACCACTCTTCAGCTCTGAAAGTGGTTCTATACCCCCTAATGAATCCATCCCTGCATACTTTAGAGGCAAAATGTTATTTCTCAATGAAAATTAAACAATTTATTGGTGGTCTTGGTTCAAATTAAACCAGAAAAAAAACAAACAAACAAACAAACAAAAAAACCCCACAAAAACAAAACACATCAAATTTTTTTAATCAAATAGTCTGGAAGATTTCAGCTTGAATCAGGCTTGATTAGGTGAGGTTAAGGAAAAAGATTTGAAGAAAGGGAAGGACAGCCACATCCACTATGCCTGACAAATTAATTCAGTTTAGTATGGTTTATACCTATCGCATCTTGACCAGGTGTCTGTGAGAGCTCTTTGGGAACCTTCTGCAATCCCCCCCTAGCACAAACCGGATTCCCTGTTTATGAATAAAAGCTTTTTCTACAGTTTTAAAAGACCTAAATTCTGCTTCTCTGATTCTTTACAGAGTAATAGCAATCAGCTCCTCAAAAGGACTATTGGCTTTGGCTGATGCACATGGCAGCAAATACATGGCCCAAAAGTAGAGATTTACTCCAAATCTGCAGGACACCTGGACCCAGCTGAGCTTTGCTCACTGCACTTGCGAGAATCCACAATTTACAGAGATAATCCTCAGATATTTCAAGCTGGGCTGAAGATAGACACATTTCCAGCCCATGCTATCAACTCTATTCATCTGGAACAGGTGCCAAGCTTATGAAATTCTCCTGCCGTGTGGTAGACTCCACAGCATGCTTCATTAGCAACCAGCCGAGCAGCTCACCACCTCCAGCTCGCAGGCATTGCAAACAGTCTGGAGATCAGAGACCCAAACCTGGGAAGCAAAGGAGGCAAGGTTTCAAAGGCAGAGGGGGATTTAGGCAGACAATGCCGGACTCTGTAAAACCTGCTCCCAGCCCCTCTCATCCTCACTCGTTTGAGTGAACGCAGCTGTCTGTCTTTTCTAATTCAGGGGTACAATGCTTTGGCTGGAAGTGCTAGACATGGCCATGGCACTCTTATTAAAAACAACATATAATAAATTGCCAAATGCCATTTACCCTGGATAACCTCCTTAGCTGAAACTCTCCGTATCTACTGCAGCTGCTTTGATGTGTCCTTCTGCTCTTTCAGCCCAGATGTTGTCATAGATTTTCTGAGGATGACTGCAAACCGGCTTTGAAATGTGCTCTGGCAAGAAACACTTTCCCATCCTGCCTCAGATGGGGTCTGCTTTTTTTCCCCCTTTCACATTTTTCTTACTGAGGCCATTGGGATGAATACAGGCTCTTTGTTCGTTTAGCCATCTCTCTGCTTGCTGATGCTTTTTATATTTTTTTAAAACTAAGTCGAAATGACAGCAGCAGCAGTTCAGTAGATGAAATAGGTCTCAAATGCCACAGTGACGGCCAGTGCTTGGATACCCCTTTCAGCTATAAACATGGATAGTGAAAGGGGAAGGAGCTTTATGAGCCCTAGAAATACTTTCTCCCTCTCTCTCAAGCCCCAGGAAAAAAGTAAAAAAAAAAAAGGAAATTACCAAATTTTCTCTTGAGTATTATAGTAAGACGCTCTTTCAGAGGAGCTGGCACCTTACTCTAGAAGTAGTGGGTGCTCATTTATAGGACAAGAGAAAATGGACTCAAGTTGCATCAGAGGAGGTTCGGACTGGATATCGGGAAAAATTTCTTCACCAGAAGGGTTTTAAGCACTGGAGCAGGCTGCCCAGGGAGGCAGTGGAGTCACCGTCCCTGGAGGTGTTTAAAATCCACGTAGATGTGGTGCTGAGGGACGTGGTTTCGTGGTGGGGTTGGCAGTGTTGGGTTAACGGCTGGACTCGATGAGCTTAAAGGTCTTTTCTAACCTAAATGAGCCTGTGACTGCATGGTGTGGACACAACAGCCCACGAGCCCCTCAGGGGGTCTCTCCTGGCCTGGAAGCAGCCTGCCCACCCGGCGCTGGGGGCGAGACAACACGTAACCTCTGCTCCCGTTTCACCGGCGAGCGTGGGAAGTGGAAGTTGCAGAGCCCCCGGTCCGTTCCTCGGACCCTGGGACTGGACGAAGGCCCCGCCCGGCTCCCGTGTGGAGACTCCCGTATGGATCCCGTATGGATCCCCTATGGATCCCCTACGGGTCCCACACGGCCGCGGCCCGGGCCGGCAGCACGCATGCGCGCAGGCGCACACACCCCCCCCCCCCACACACACACCCCCCCCCTCCCGCCTCGTTCTGTTCCTGCGCCGCCAGGAGGCGCCCGAGCGCGGCGGGCGCGCGGCCCGTGACGCGGCGCGGCGGCGGCGCGCGGCGGGCGCCATGGAGCGGCTGGAGCGGGGCGGGCGGCGGCTGCGGGCCGCGCTGGCCGGCGGGCGGGCTGGCTGCCGGCTGCCCTGGCTGCTGCTCGCCATCGTCCTCCTCGGGTCTGCCCTCAAGGACGGCGACCTGGTGCCCGACACGCCCATGCGGAACAAGCGCAACCCGCTCAACGTGTGAGGAGAGCCGGGGGGGGTGGGGGGGGGTGTTGGGCCTCGGGGGGCGCCCGGGCCGCACCGGAGCGGGGGCTGCGGGGCCTCCGCTGGGGCGGAGGGGCAGCGCCGGGGCCGCGGAGGGCCCTGCCGCGGCGGCCCGGGGGGCGGGGTGGGCTCTGTTAGATCTCCTGGCCTTAACGTCTGCTGTGCTCGGCGGGACTGTTGAGATTTCAGAACGACTGGAGTTTCTCGCTCAGTTTTTATTGGAAAAGGAATTTTTTATTTCTTTCTTTAGCGCTCGGATAAATACTCGTGTTTGAGTAAGCTGTTACAGAACTGATCTAAATCGAGCTGAAGGAAATAAATCTTTTAGTGTCTTTTCTAAAAGCAGAGTTACTGTCATCCTTTTCTAGTATTCAGGCAATGATTTACCTGGCTTAGGCATTCCTTAAAACTATGTTTGAACGTTTTGAAGGGGCATGAGGAAGGCAATGAGCTTGGCCAGCGCACCTGTGCTTTGCTTGCTACAGATCATCAAGTAAAGCTAAAATTGCTGTTTTCCCCTGTGACTTGGCATATTTTGTACTTTATTGATTAAGATTTGTCATTTGGTGACATGTGGGAGAGGAGCTGCTTTTAGTGTGATCAAAAAGCAGGGTTGGCAGGAACACTTAGAGAGTAAAATTGATCCTGCAGTGAAAACATGCTATAGTTGAGTTCTACCTTTTTAAATGGAGGAAGGTTATCTGTATTGACGCTTTCTGAAGCATTTTTTTTCCCCACAAATTACTTGACTGCTGGTTTGCCAGCAGCAATTATGTTAGCGGCCTTTTTTGCTTTTTACTGTCTCAATAAAACGAGGATTGGATTTTCAGTTACTATTCCATGGTAGCAGCTGTAGTTGCCACAGAGATGTCACTGCTACTGTACAGTTAAGAGTAAAGGAGGTACTCCTCAGATCCTGGGCAAGGCCCTGATAGTTTTTGTTAGGGTCTTAATGAAGGTACAGAACTCTATTCCTACTTTTTTTTGTCTTCGATGCTGAGGTGATGATTAAACGGTGGCTGTGTGTGTCTAGCTATAGCTCAGCCACAGACCAGAATTCTGCTGTCTGTGTTTTTGAAACTGGGATGTGGGTACAAGGGGGCTTCACAGTTCCCTTTTCCCAGCAAGCTGCATTGGAAGGTGCTAATGGGAGAAAGATCATCACAGTCTATGGTTTCCTTAGCTTGTTAGTAAATTCACTTGCAGGTGCTCCACTTTAAGATTTGAAAAGAGGACTAGTTAAGCAGTACTGTCCCCTGCTAAACAGGACATCATCATCTGGTTTTCAAGATTTTATAGGCATCACAGCAAAAATCTTCAAGGGAAAGAGATGGAAGAATTTGTGTATGCCAAAGGAAAGCTGTCATCAACTGGAGGGACAGCAAAGGATCAAATACACTGTTTGTTTATTCTGTTAAGGTGATGATGGAGGAAAAGCTTCATGGGCTGATTATGGAAGAGTCAGCCCCTCTGGCTACCTTATTCAGTATGAAGAGGTTGAGGTTGTGAAGAGCTTTGAAAGGAAAGACAACTGTGATGGAGGAAGAGAGTCAGAGAAAGGGTTACTGTGCTCAAGGTGGCAAGCTAAAAATATGTTCTGTGCAGCTGCGTTTTGAGTAGGGCAGAGTTGGGAGGGTTTGTAGGGTAACAGCTATTGCAAAGCTGAGCTGCAAGCCTGAACGAGGGCTCTAGGTCCAAGGGGGTGCTGCCTGGGAAACAATTTTGAAGTACCTGGTTGAGGAAGTATTCAGGTGTTGGGCCTGAGTGAAATAGTGGGGAGTGGGTCAAGATTTTAGCTGTGCTTTACTTTGAGGGGAGGGCACAAGTGTCTAATTTGGGTAGTTCTGAAAACCGACCGTGAAAACCTACTTCTTCAAGCACCACCACTTATCCCAGCTCCTGTGAAGTTTCACACATGCATGTTTCTCTTTTGGCTTTTCTCCGGCAGGTATTTTGTGAAGGTGGCTTGGGCATGGACGTTCTGGCTTCTGCTGCCCTTCATCGCCATCACCACCTACCAGTTTGCCAGGAGGAAGTTCCTCTATGGTCCCACAAAGAGCATTTTGACCGTGCTGCGGCGTCTCAGTGCGCTGCTGGTGGGCACTGTCGTCTGGTATGTCTGCACCAGATTCTTCATGTATATCGAGAATCTCACCGGCATGTGCTCTCCCTCGGGTAAACTCAGCGACCCTCGCCGGCTGTATGCCACCAAGCAGGAGTGCCACCAGGACAACGGGATCTGGAATGGTTTTGATATCTCAGGGCACTGTTTTCTGCTCTCATACTGTGCTCTGATGATTGTGGAGGAAGTGGCTGTGCTGGAAGGCTTGTCCATAGACCAGAACTCTAAGCTTCATGTTGTGATCAACATCCTGTTTGTTTCCTTGTGTTTTCTCACCATGATCTGGGTGTTCATGTTTCTCTGTACTGCCGTGTATTTCCATGACTTCAGTCAAAAGCTTCTCGGTGCGCTGATTGGTCTGTCAGCTTGGTATGGGACATACAGATTTTGGTACTTGAAGCCCTTTTCTCCTGGACTACCTCTTCCAAATATACCTTTGAGTTCAAAGAAATACAGTTATAGCAGATAAAATGAATTTTAAAATGTTTGGATTTTGCTTTCAGTACCGGAGTAGTTGAATGTAGGAATGGTTACTGTATTTCCACTGTAAGGAACAAGATGATGGGCTGGAGGAAACCAAATCTGAACTAGCCAATGGCTGGCAGGTGGTAATGAGCTTCTCACTTGGGAGGAAAAAAAAGCTGATATTGCAAGAGGTCTGCTCTTGTTTAGGAGCTGCTGACTGTCATTCTCGGCAGAGAAATCAGAGGTTGGGCCTGTTTCTCTTACTCATAAATGGAGGAGCAGATCAAAGGCTGACAGAGGCCTTTGCTCTTTAGGAGCTTGACTGATCTCAAATTAATTCTCTTTTTGATTTATTTATGTCAAAATAACGTGGATAATCCAAACCTCATACTACTTTTTTTAATCCTCCTATTTGTACTGCCTTATGGGAAAGCTCTAATAATGACAGTGCTGCTAAGTGTTGCAAAAATATCATTACTCATTAAATCAATATATAGCTCTGCTGTGAAACTAGAATATCTCATGTTATCAAGTGTTAAATACAGTAACTTGCCACAAATGCTTCTTAGCTGCCTGAACCTTCTGCAACAAAGAGTAAATCTGAGATGTAATGTCTTAAGCAGACTCTGACTTTAAATTTGTGCCTGCCTTTGAAAAGGAAATTCTTGAAAAACAAGCCTTAACTTTCTCCTTAGGTGAAGTATTTAATAATACTTAGTCATTTAATTCTTGACAGAAAAAAACTAAACTCCTTCCAATTTCGCTAAAAAGTCTACTATGAGAATTGGGGTTTTAAATTTTTAAAATTCTTATGAGTTGCATACTTTTCAACAAGTGCTTTGTGGCTTGTTTCTTCTAGAAGAGCAATGAAATTCTGGTGTTACAAACAAGTTAGCTTAACCTGCTGTTTCCTGAATAGTGTGCTTGGTAATGAGTGAAACACATTGTCTGTCCTAAGAGCTGCAAAGCGGTGTGCTTGAAGCAATATTTATCTTTGCTTATCCAGCAATATCAATAAGCTACTTAATTTTGATTGCACATAAAGCTGTGGCCACTTTTGATGTGGCTGGAAACCCACTACTGAATAAAACACTATTATTATATAATGAATAGGTATGAGGTGGGATGGGTTTACTCATCATATCAATCAGACATTTAGCATAGTTTTTATCTTGAAAAGCTTTTTATTATTTAATGACGCAATTGCACAAAATCTGTTTGACAGTTGTGATGAGCAAGACAGCCAAAAAGGTGTCTGGACAAGGCTGCAGGTACTGTCTGCTGATCTGAGAGCAGGCTTGATCTGTTCATAGCATTTGACTCCAAGGCGATTATTTTGCTAAACATAGGGTATGATGCACCCTAGTCTAATCTTGGCATGTTTCTTTTTGCCATATCAACAGCTCTCCTCCAGCAAGAGAGCAGCAGCATTTGCAATAAATAATACAGCAGTGTTAATTCCACACTTGTGGTCTACCTCTGGGGAGAGCTGCATTCATCTGAATTTCCACTGAATTCAGTGGCAAGTGGGAGTTGTTGTGCATCCTTAGAAAATATGCATCACCTCTCAGAAGATGCTGTTTCAGGAGGTTATGTATTTTTGTCAAGCTCCTCTTGTTTTTGCGTTGAATTGCCTTTTAAGCCGACTCTTTGGAAAATTTGCACTGATTAACTCATACTGGGTTTAACTAAGTTTGTTTAAACAATGCAAATTCATTTGCAGACATTCTTTTGATGTAACGTAAGCCTGCTCCCAATAGAGTTAAGCTAGACCGCAAGCCACTTTCACTGTGAAAAAGGATCATATACCCAGAAGGCTTTCTGATTAATTTCATTAAGTTTCTATTTTAGGTTATTTTTATGTAGCGTTGCTATATAGACAAAGCCTTGGAGCAAGAAATGCTGTTTCTTTAAACCAACTGACTTGCTGCAATTATGTTCAGTTTCACAAATGTTTTGTGTAATCACTATATGGATGTTTCTGTCCACTTCTAACCAGTGTCATACAGACCTTTTATTATGGAAATAATGTGGGATATGGTTATTCTCAAAACTTACTTAAATAATGAAAGAAAAACACTTGAAAAACTTAACCAGTGTTTGTGTCTTTGAGAATCGGTTTCTGATATCTGTAAAGATATTGCTGCTGCTCTTCACCTCCCTGAATGATTCGGTCTCCCAGTATTTTTGTGACTAGTGAGGTACATGATCAAACTGGCATTGATAATTCTGCAGTATTGAAATGGGTTAATATAACACAGGTTCTCCAAAGTACAGGGTATAAAAAGAAACAAAACAAAAGCCATGCTTGACAAAAGCAAGTTTCCTAACATGTGCCTGTTCCACCAAGCAGCTGATTTTGTAGACATGGACAGTTGCTTAATGTAGCAAAGCAAAAGCCTAATCCATTGAAATATACAGGAGAATTCCCTGGGGCTCTAATACTGCTTATGAGTTTGGAAATCTTGGTGTCTGTGTCCTTCTCAGTACCCAGAGACCATGTGCCAGCTGTTGGCCTAGAAGGTTCCCTTGTGCTCCAGACCTTTTCTTTATGCTTTTTGACTCTTTCAGAGTAAGGCTTTGCTTCCTTGCACTTTAACTGGAAGCTAAAGGTTGCAAATTTTCTGTTCGCATATTTGCCATCACCTTTATCTGACTTCCTTCCCTCTCCCAAATACACTTTTATCATTAAAAATGTAGCCTCTCTAGGACAGATTTGCAGCCAAAGAGGAACAGTGCTGTGAGTAACTGGATTTGATGTCCTGTGCCAAAGGCACAAATCAGCTGTCAACCTCTATTATTATTTTGCTTAATTTTTTAAAAAAGTGTAACATTTTAAAGATACATTTTCATATTTTGTAGTGAATTCCAAAAGACAGCAACTATAATATAATCGCATGAAGCAGCTGGTCTTTGTTTTTTTTTTTTTTGGTTTTCAGCATTAAGGTATTCCTCTTGTTTCTGCAGAGCAGTCTTTCTGTGTCTGTAGAATTATCTGGGGAATTTTTGTCCCTAACATCTTACTAGCATATTACTTATTTCAACATATGTCTGCTAAATTTTCATTGCCTGTGTTTGTCTAGCCTATTATGTGGGCTCTGTATCACAGCACTTTGGCAGCAGCAGCATTTGGCCTGACGTGGCTGAGGCAGGTCTTGATGCCTTAAGCACTTTCCTCTGCTGGGGCCAGCAAGGAAGGGAGTCTCAGCTAGAACATGGTGGGAACATTAACAGGATTAGGATTCATTTCACTCTTCACTTACGTGGGATTCTTAGATGTTTGCGTCACTGAAGGCAAAATCAGGCAAACAGGAAAGTTTAGATCTTTCATAAGAGCCATCTGAACAGTGCAGACTTTAAACATATCTGGGCCTGGAGTTTGATTCTTCCTTAGAGTCTGTTCAAACTTGTTCCATGAATGCTTCACTGGTGCTAAATGGTATTCTTAGTTTGACAATTTATTTTTGTGTACTGAAAGCTGCAAAAGAATCCTGTTTTCTGTTTTGATGCATGGCAGTTCATGATCAAGTGAGAAACGCTCAGTTATGCCCTGTGGTGCACTTTCATGGAAAAAACTGTAGGGACTGCTGTAATATATTAAATGTTTTGGAAGATCAGGCTTTAGTTGTGAAAGCAAGTCTGGGGTCACTTTTCTTAATTAAATAATATTTCTTTTTTCCACTTTAGCTTAAAGTAGATCCTGCAGCTTCTCTGCAATCAGCCTTTTACAGCTCTTTGCCTTTGATCAGCCTGTGTTTATCTCTGTTTGCTCAGAAGCCTGTTTCCTGGGATTATTTCTTTTCATAGCTTCATCTCGCCTCCTGAAGTGCAGATTAGTCATAAATGCTCTTTATCTCAGCTAAATGCATGCTTTATATATATTTTGTCTTCCCTTCTTTTAACTATTTTGCCCAAGCTTAAGATGAACGTAATTGATACTAGCAAAAAAGGCTGTTTTGACTCTGAACTCATAATTAACCGTTGTTAAAAGGAGTTGGTCTGTCACTGTAATGGTGTTTACCTGGAAAAAAAGCACAAGCACATGCTTACTTTGTTGAAGCAGAACTACACCTAATGTGCTTGAACTCACAGAAGTAAAGAGAAGGTAATGTGGCAGTGGCGCTTGGTGCGTTAGTAGAATTAGCTTTGCCCTTTTCTTGTGGATCAAGCACAGCATTTCAGTAAAGAATAGTTTCACCCAGGTTTTAGTAGGAAATTATTAATTTGAATGTGGGAAGGGTACCTTACTGCTTGGAGTACACAGTGAGAACATAGAGGTTACAACCTGGAAAAGCAGAAATGGAAATAGGTATCGAGATGTGTCCCTGAAATTTCAGGCAACTGTGTAGTAATAGTCTGAAAGATTTATTTTTAAACCACCCTCTGTCCATCACAAAACGCAGCCAATGCCATGTGCCTTGTGACAAGCTGGATGACTTCTCTGTAAAGCTTTGGAACTACAATATGGCACAGAAAATAAGCAGTGAAAAGCTTTACCAGCCTTTCAGGAGAGCTGAATATCAAGGGAAAGCAGTACTTGGAAAAATGCCCTTTCTCAGTCATTCTTTTCCTGACAATATATCTGGTGGTAGGAGATCCGCAGTTGTACTGTGTGTCTCCCCAGTGGCATAAGGCTGAAGAAATGAGTGAGGAACTCGTAAATACAAATGATGATTATTTTTTATCTCTCATCTTTGAAGCCTTTTTCCATGTCCAGTCTGGGTTCATTCTGCAATTTTAGGTCGTATATTCCCTGGGTCGTGTAATTTAATGCATTTAATCTGTGGGAAACATGGTTGATGTCAGAGCAATAAATAGACATTTCCTCAATGTAAATGTTAGCTCTCTTCTGAAAGGTCTTCCCCGAATCCTGCACTGCCCATCTTCTGCCGAGCCTTCCCCATCCCGTGGGGACCGGGAGAGAGCAGGGCCGGGAGGTGACACGCGGTGTGACTGTGTCAGTGACGGGCTTAACATCATGACTCATTGCTGGAGAAAATGCAGCTAAATAGGTTGTGGCTCAGAATAGTTGACTGTGATGGAGAAAGCCATGCAAAATGAATTGAAAATAAAGATGATACTAAGCCCACAAAGCCTGTTGGCCTTATATCCAAATGTGTGAATTGTTGCACCCAAACCTGGCAGGATTGTGATGATTCGGAATGGCACGCGGGGTCTGCCCTCTGTCTTTTGCAAATGATGGGAGCGAGCACAGATTTAATATGTGCTTGGTGTAATGTCATTCTAGACCATAGCTCTTCCCAGCTCTGTGCACTGTTGCTCCAGCTTTGCTGTAGCCTGACCTGACTTAGTTTTTAGAAGAATGGGAGTGATCGAGGTTTGAGACTTTTTAAAATTTTTTTTTTTCTTTTGGTTGTCATGCTTTGCAAGTTGAGAGAAAAAAATATGTCAGGTTGTTTTTTTGTTTTCCAAGGATTTTTTTGGTTTGGCATTGATTTGGTTTGTTTTTTGATTGGTTGGTTGGTTTTGGGTTTTGTTTTTTTTGCTTGTGGCCAAGAATCATCGCTATTGCTGTTCTGTAGTGGATGTCTCCAAGGGCAGGGAATGGAAAGAAATTGCTTTTGATAAGCAAAAATAGAGGAGTGTTCCAGGAGGCTTGCAATGGAGTGACTTGACCTTGTGATATAACGAGCATGTGCAAAACAGCACTTAACTATGCAGAATACTTAGTTCTATGTCAAGAAGTGCCTGCAGCATTATAAAGCACCCTCAAACCTGGTTACACTCTGTTCTGATTGCAAAATAGCTTTATTTGGATAACTCTCCTGGAGCTAAAAAGGATTTAGGTCATGAAAGAGATAAAGTGCTGGTAGGAAAGGGCTGAGATAGGAGGCAATGAAAGTAGGGGGTTGAACTGTGTTATTTTTAAAGTGAGGCTTTCTAAGTTGTGATTGGTCTATGCTGTTAAGATTTTTTTAGCAAGACTGTATCTTCTTCGTTTCTTAGCTGTTCTTTCTCAGAAGGTGGGAATGAGAGGTGCTGTGTCCACTGATGCAGAATTTCACAACCCGTGGGCTCCTGACAACAGCGATGTCTCTGAAAATGGTCACGCATCCCTGGCTGTCTGGGGCAGGAGAGTGAAATCAGGAGAATCCAAGAGAGGGGTGAACTAAAAATGAGCTGAAAGTAGATCATTGTGCAAAGGAGAAAGGAAAAAAAAAAAAAACCAAAGCAACTACTGTTTGCTCCTGAGGAGTGGGTGGAGGTTGACGCTTTGCTAGCTGATGCTTTTCAGTGTCAAAGTTGCGTGGAAATAACCTACTTCGGCAACAGCATCTGCCGACTGCAGGTAGACCCTTGGCCTGCAGCACACAGGTTGCTGCAGTCCACAGCCTTGCTTGCCTTTGCTGCAGCTCTGGTGATAGACATCTGTGTTCTGACAAAGCAATTGTTCATCTAAATTATTTATGGCATATGTGGTATTCTTTCTTTCACTGTGAGGTGTTCAAAGCAGACTGTTTTCTCTCTGTTAATCCTTCAGAGGAAGGCGTGTAAAATAGAGTGAAAGACAATGATAGTAAATGTGTCATTTGGGCACGTTTGGAAATCAGCATGAGGAGAAAAAATTAGAAATTTGTTTGTTGTGAATGCACTTTATCTGAGAATACAAGTTCCAGTGTGTTTTCGCTACTGCATAAAATCTTAGATGCAGTATAGAAGCAGCTTGGTCTGAACCCCCCACAATTTGATCACTAAGGCCATGTTTTAGGAGACCCTTTAGGGGTATGAAATCTGTTCCTGTTCACAATGTACTTATGCAGATGTTTTCATTCCCATTTGTACCTGTGGGTTTGAACTTTTCTCTGGGCACAGCCTGCTGAACATGGACCGGGGATGTTATTGTGTCCCACCAAGGCAGAAGTAGCTTTTCTACAGACCTGTGTAGTTAGAGCAGCTTTGCTGATGGTGTGAGCAGATCTGAAATTACCCTCTTATCCTCTGCTATGCCACAGATAACTGCAGGTGTGGTTACAGTAGCTATCTCTTAGGTTGTACATTATTTACTGGTTCTTTGGTTATTTAGTTTTTAATTCCATATTACCATATTTTGTATTATCCTTGGCCATCTCAA